CGCGATATCCTCGAGTTCCTCACCCCGAATACAGCCGATGGGGGATTTGGCTCTTGCGGGGGTGCGTATGCGGTATTAGCGCTGAGAAAATACAGGAGATTGACTCGATGGGTACCTGAGCCATAATAAGTACTCGTTGATAATAGATGCTACTTGCTTGTAAACTACACGCAGTAAATACTAGGCATGTACTTACTTCTCTAAATTTCATGTTCGTATATTTGGCCTCGAGTGCTGAAACTATCTTTGAAGTCGGTCCAAAGTGAGAATTTTCGGTGCTGACATAATCGCCTTCCTCGCTCCATTTTTCGCATGATGATCGCGTCGTCCTCCTTTCCTTCCCGCCTCCACGACAGACGATGTCGTGCCCCAACTGCTTCACCGGCGAGGCCTTGGAGGGCACGCCGACCGGGACGATCTCCGAGATCGACAACGCGGCGTACTTCTCCCCTGGCCCGGGCCCGCAAGGCGCCTCCGCCAAACGGGCAATCATCCTGCTGACGGACATATTTGGGCTCCCGCTGAACGTGCGTGTCTATTCTTGCTACTTTGCTATCTGTTTACTTAATTACTCGCCAGAATGCGCGCATCATCGCGGATAACTTTGCCAAATCGCTCGAATGCGACGTCTACGTGCCCGACCTGTTTGCGGGCCGCCCGCCCGTGACGCCAGAGCAGATGTCGGCCATCCCGCAGAGGGCGGGGCTCAAAGTCGGCTTCCTTGGATACCTCAAGCTCTTCTTCAAGGTGTTGCCGAGCCTCTTCGCGCTTATCCGCAACCGACCACCCCAGGGCGCTGCACGGGCACTTACGGTGCGTCGCCTTCCACCTTCTCACTACCAAGCTCATGCGTTTCTAGTTCATCAACAAGCTGCAGGAATCGAAGAAGTACGAGAAACTGGGGGCTATTGGGTGCGTTGCTACTTCTGGGTCCGACACTCGTCTCATGGCCCAAGTTACTGCTTCGGTGGCGGCGTGTCCCTCATTCTCGGCTCACAACACCCTGCGCTCTTCAGCAGCATCGTCATCGCCCACCCGTCCCCGCCCAAAGACGCGCAAATTCTCGGTATAAAGGCGCCGACTGCCTGGATCGCGGCGGAAGGTCGGACTGTTATGGAGCAGCGTTCTGACAAAACGCTAACGCTAACATGCTTCTAGACGATTTCGCCATCTCGAAAGCGCGGCTGGACCAGATCGAGGCGCTGTACAAGGCGCGGGAGGGGAAGGACACGTATGTGGAGTACGAGATCAGGGTGTACCCTGGTGCGTGGCGTTTTACTAGTACGTCCTCGTTCTCTCTGTTGACTGTATCGTTAGGGACTGGTAAGACAAGCCACACCATGGACGGCACTGACTCTTTCCAGCGCATGGATTTGGCGCGCGGCCCGCGCTGCAGTACCCCGAGGTCAAGGAGGCGTTCGAGAAGGCGTTCCAGCAGGCGGTGGATTGGTTCAATCGGACTATTCCGGTGTAGAAGGGCTGGTTTCAGACTTGGGTAGTATGATGTGTGTCGTCAGGATGGGTTTATTATCGTAAGAGTATGTGAACTTGGATCTATCTTGTTGCTGCCGGCCGGGGCAAGAATTCACGCATGGAGGTATAGACACGTGAATTATAATCAGCTGTGAGCTAAAGATATGAAGGGAAGAACTATTTTTGCCATTCTCCCCGACCCATTATTGTTCGCCCACAACACCATCGGTGTGTGCTTGTTAGTGGCCCTTCTCCAAGAGGGTGAGAAACGGGAAGCGCCACGATCTTCTATCGTTTCGCGACTGTCTGCGACGACAGCGCCATCCACACTCTGACCGCACAGTCAGTCTTGTTAAGCTGGGCAACGAGACACTTACCTTGCCGAGCAACGAGCACGAGTTGGCGACAACAGCGCCGTCTCGTCGTTTCCATCGAGGCTCGAGCGGGGTCAGGCTGGAGATCAAAGTCAGCGAAAGGACGGAGAACGAGCGGGAGAGTGCAGACTTGGACAGGAAACCCAAATGAAACTGCGATTGGCGGTAACGGTAAGTATATTGGACTTGCTAAATGTTAGAATGCTATTAATCGGTAAGCAGGTGTGAAGCGAAACGAGGACGTGTAGTACCTGCGAGTCCCGCGCGAGCTGGTGATACTACACAAGATAAGTGCGCCTTCTTGACTTGAACGGTACCTGCTTACCGTTTGTTCGCTTGACAACAGCAGCGTCTTGAAGACTAGTACTCCTTCGGGACTGTCTTGGACGACAGCTCCAGGGCCTGCAGCTGTAGAATTTGAGTCAGCGTCGTCAAACAACATGACGCGACTATAACCACCTTGACAACTTGGATATATCACGAGATGTTGAAGATTGACGGGTCACGGGTGTGACTCGCCGCGAATCTTCTAGGTCTTTCTGCTTACACGCTTACAGAGCATCAAGAACATTGTAGAATACAGTAGATATATACATTGTAGTATATAAGCTGAAAACAAATTTAGCGTAGGGCATCGTTTGCCCTAACGCATCGAACCCTCACAGGCTTGCGATTGCAAACCCTCGCTCATCGTGATCCAAATCACTCTCGCGATCACCTCGGAAAATTCAACACAAACGATCTCGGTACTGTCACCGATCACCCGACTGCCTGCACCAACCGCTAACCCCGGCTACCTGCACCACATTCCTTCTGCACCCCTCCACCCACCACCATGTCCTCATCATCTTATAAACTCAACACCGAGCGCCTTACTGGTGTCGAGAACTATGCCAGCTGGGCTGTCCAGACCGAGGACGTCCTCAATGACATGGGACTTGATGATCATGTTGCTGATGGTGCCTCAGGCACGTCAGCCGACTGGAAGAAAGCGGACCGGAAAGCTCTCACACAAATCCGTCTTCGTGTCGCGCCGCACATCATCGTTGATGTCCGGAATGCCAAAACGGCACTTGAAGCCTGGCAGACTCTGAAAGAGAACTACCAGACTGATGGAGGCATTGGCGTCATCATTGCCATTCGACAGCTGTTCTCTACTCGCGCCAGCACTGATGGCAACATCCAAGAACATCTACGCACTATGAAGACGAATGCAGAAGAGCTTCGGACATTCGGCTACCCGCTTGCCGACCCGGTTCTCTCGCTGGCACTGCTCACTTCCATGCCGGACGACTGGGACTCTTGGGTCTCGTCAGCTGCTCTTGACGCGGAAATGCTCAAGAAGCCTACCAAAGTCCATGCGGCCATCTTGATGGAAGCACGCCGTCGCCACCCACCTGCCAGTGACGCCGAGCCATCCAGCACCACGCCATCCGCGATGGTTGCCCGCGGCAAATCCGCCAAGCGTTTCCCACCCGCGCCAACCTCCAGCTCCACCCCCGGCCCCGATACCGGCAAAGCCAACCCCACCTGCTTCCGTTGTGGCGGCAAAGGCCACGTCGCGCGCCAATGCCCATCACCGGCTGGCACAGACATTGCCAACTTTGCGCTCGACGACAACGAAGGAGATGAGTATGGAGAAGACGATGAAGAATATATCTGCTTCTAATTTCAATCCACTTTGACCTATGCAAATCCATTCTACCTACGCTACACCACTTTAATCGACAAATCAATTCCATTCCCACCATCTTTCCACTTCCGAATACTCCCGACGGCACCCATGGCCGATAGAACCCGAATGGACCGTGACGATCCGGGCAGACAGGCCCCCGAAGTCTCTCGTGTGCTGTCACTTGCAGATGGGGCGCGTGAGCTGGCGACGGAATGCCACAAAGCTGCGCTACTTGGTGTACTGTTTGATGCCGGAGGTATCGATGCGTGGTAGCTGATGGGGGAGCGCGGCATGGGAGCGGCTCGTCATGGGGGAGTGTTGAAGATTGACGGGTCACGGGTGTGACTCGCCGCGAATCTTCTAGGTCTTTCTGCTTACACGCTTACAGAGCATCAAGAACATTGTAGAATACAGTAGATATATACATTGTAGTATATAAGCTGAAAACAAATTTAGCGTAGGGCATCGTTTGCCCTAACGCATCGAACCCTCACAGGCTTGCGATTGCAAACCCTCGCTCATCGTGATCCAAATCACTCTCGCGATCACCTCGGAAAATTCAACACGAGAACAGTGCGTTCTTCGCGCGCAACACGCCCCATTCAGGAGTGCCAACGGCCGCACAACGCTGACACGACCCGCCGAACGGAGACGGGACAACCAAACTTGACGCGCGCGCGCGCGAGCGCAATGAGACAATACTCGTATTTGCGGGCGAGAATTTGCCGTCGTAGAGCGCTGTGATAGAGTGCTGTGGTGACTGCGGTGAGGGCGAGCAGCTTCAGATTAAGGAGTGCTGATTGACAGTGATTGTTGGGCTGGAGTCGGGGACTCTGTCGAGCGGGGAAGAGTAGTGCATGCTCTTCATCGTCGACAACAAGGAGCTTATGAAGGAGAAGGTGAGCGCGAGATACTGCAGGAGTTATTTTTGTCCAAGATCAACTTCTTGACACGATAGCACTCACCTAACGCGAGGCAGCCGTGGGCCGTCGACGGAAAACTGCGCAAATGTGTCGAAAAACGAACGAGAGCCTGCGGGAAACACCGTACGACTTATAAGAACTCGCCAGTTACGATACGACCCAACTCACCGACTTCGTTACCCGGCTATGGCTCAGTAGGCCCACTAGCGAAACTCCATGGTGAGCGTGAAGAGGGAAGCTTTGCTCGCGAACTATCGTCATCGACAGTACCGTCTCGAAAAAATCAGCTAGCAGGCATGGGTTAGTCTGTGCATCAGCAAAATCGTTTTTTTCTGGGCGGTCTAGCCCTGGATACCACAGATCTTTTAGATCCCCAGAGCATGTCTATGCCCAGAGGCTAAGTCCAATTTTAGACACCCTCAGCCATTCCCCAGACATTATTTAGAATTCTCCAGAAGCTCACAGCAATTTCACAGAACAACGATAGAGCAGTATATATGGATAGAATTCAGTACAATAGCACAATCAGTATACTAATTCAAGGCTGCCTGATCGTTAGTTCCCTCCAACTGTATAATCACCCTCGGGCTCGTCGTCGGAGACATCGATATGCTGGCGCGGGTCCTGAGGGGCACTTGAGTACGTCTTCCGGCTACTTGCTTCGAGGAGATCGGCGGCGGCTCGTCGTTTAAGAGAGGTGTAGGGGGCTGCCATGTCCAAAATGAGATGCTGCTTCTGTACCGACTTGAGATTCTGGACGATGCCGTTGTAATACTTGGTGGTCGTGTTTGTCCAATCGACACCAGAGAAGAGGAGCTTCTTGTCCTTGCCATGCCCATCATCCATCGTCTGGATGAGCTTGCCAGTTTCCCACAGCTCGAGAGCTCGTTGTGCCTAAAGAAAGTTAATAACAGAAGCGAGGAAGCTTGTGGCACATACTGCAGCAGCGCAAAGCGCAAGAGCCCCAGCTGGAAAACCATAGTTTGGGTCCGTTCGGGGCTGTATCGCTAGGCGGATATGCTGCCGTCCGAGCGGCTCGAGAATGAACCGAGACCGGTAAGAGCCCGTCTACAAGAGTTAGTGCATGGGTCAAGGCTGCCATGAACTGACGCACATGTGCTGCTCCACCAGCATAGAGAAAATCGGCATTCTTCAGATAGTTCTTTGCACGTTCAGCGACGATGTCGGGGGTGATAGGCACCAAGGTGATAGGTTTGCCATTCTCATCATTAGGGACCTCATGGAGAATGTCGCCTGCGATAGCGAGTGCCTCCTTTCCAAGTTCGCTCCGCCAGGTATAGAGAGCGCCGGAAACCTGTAGACAGACATCAAACGAGAGAACAGGCATTGAGGGTAACGTACCACACCATATACCGCCTTCGTAATAGCGAACGGTGATTCGGGGTCGCTAGAGAAGACCGCTTCGTAAGCTTCCTTGACGATCTTCTTGAAGTCTGGATGGGCAGCAGCAGCGAATGGTTGCGCTAAACACCCTGCCCAATCGATGACATCGGCCACAACACGTTGCTTGAACAGTGCCCGGTGTTCCTGGGTGTGAAATGGGAGGTCGCTCAGCCGGTATTTCGGTTTGCGTCCCCTCTCGTGGGCATCATCGTCAATGTCGTCGTCAACAGTGAGTGTCTTTTGGTGAAGGACGATTCCCATCTGACGTCAAGATTTTGGTCAAATTTCTCTCACGGAATGGCGCTTGACTCTTACCTGCGATGTCTTCGCTCCAACTGTCGCTCGCTGGGTTGCTTGCACACCATCTTCAAGAGTCTCCGCTTCGTCGTCAAACCGGTCCAAGGTCTCGCCATCGAGGGCGGCTCCAGAGGATGCGGATGTAGTTGACGTTGCTCGCACAGTGCGATCGATAGTCCGGTCCCATGCTGTTGCAGCTGCCGCAGGGGGCTTAACGAGGGCAGTAACTTGACGCCAGTTACGGGAGACGCCGCCGAGGGAGCTTTTTGTCTTCTTGGCACTACAGCAAAGTAAGCACCGGAAGAGCGAAGGAGGGCAGGTACCTGGGGCCATCGAATTCATTGCCGCTTGCTGGGGCCACTTTGCGTTTAGCGGCAGATGTGGGCTGGCTAGCTGCGTTGATTTCGCCACGGAGAGCAGCCTTGAGCCGGTGAGATATCGTCCAGTGGTTAAATGTAACTCACCTTCTCCTTGGGCTTCGAAACGCCCTTTTTCTTTGCGGGCTCCTTCTCGACAGCAGCTTTCTTCTTCTTCTTGCGGGCTTGAAGGGATGCAATTCTGCGGTCGAGCTCGGCCTCGTCATCGTCCGACGACCCGTTACTGTTGCTATTTTCACCGCCCTCGTCAATGTACTCGCCGCCATCATCGCTGTCGCTATTCGTGATAACGGGGCCGGAGTTTTGGTGTGCTTGCTGCGGCGAGGTGAGTAGAAACATGCACCGTAGCCATATGACTGACGGTGCTGACAGTTGGCCAATTTTCGTCGTCCTGGCTTGGGCTGTCGGAGGCTTGCTCGGCCTCCGGGTCAGTATCAAGATGGAGCTGGGGGGAAACGGGGTTAGATCTGTCGAGGACAATAGAATGCGACGCACCTCCATCTCGTCTTCCTCTTCGTTCGCAGTGGTCGGTTTTGCGGCGGCTTGGATGGCCAACAGGTCCTGGTGCTTCTGCGCCAAGTCAGGTCGATTCGAAGATGTAAGCAGCACCCTATCCTGCTCGCGAACCCGCCTCTCCGTCGCCGCTGCACCCTCCACTTGCTTCTTCTTTTTGGCGAGCGCACGAGCTTCCTTGGCCTCCTTTGCGGCCTCCTTTTTTAGCTTGTCGGCCTTGATCTCCGCAGGGGAGCGGCGTTTCTGGCTGGCTGCCTTGAGCAGCTCGCCCGGGCGGTTGTCGCTGGTTGGCCGTTTGGGGCGTCCCTCCCGCGAGGTCATGGTGGACGAAAAAGAGGGGAGGTCGGGTCTAGAGTGTTTCATGGATACTGCGGCACGTGTTACCGCACAGCCCACTGCCGATCTAACCCAATCGACCACCCGGCTTGGCACTCCAAAGCCTCTTCCGACTCCTATGCCGCGAGCGTCGAAGGCCGGGTCCCAGCAGAAGCCTACTCGGGGGCAGCGCCAGACGATTCCGAATGTATTCTGTGAATATCTTGGCTGCGGAAGAGCATTCAAGTCGACACAGGGCTTGACCCGCCACGTTCGTGCCTCACACGATAATCCCACCTCCCTTCGCAATAACTCCGCTGGTGCTGATGAACCCCGGGACGCTACCCCGCTGGACGAAGGCTTTGACCATCCCGATGGGGGTTGGAACCTCGATGACGATTTGGCTCCGCGCTTAGATTTCGAAGACGTCAGCAACGACAATAGGCAGCGCTGGAGGCGCAAAAACCATCCGTTTCTTACAGGTGCGTGGCTGCACATACTTATTCTGTTTCTCCTGATCGAATACTAGCTCGTCCGTGCGATGAGCATGGTGATTTCCTTCCTGACGGAGCAGCTCCAGCCCCGCGCCATAATAAGCTTGACGACGACTGGGATCCATACGACGACAAGGTCCAGTTTCGCCTCGCCGACTTCGCATTTCGAAAAGCTCAGATATCAGGCTCGAACATCAATGAACTACTCGAAATTTGGGCTATGGATAAGCTCAAACACGACGACTTGGCCCCGTTCGCAAATGCCGACCATCTATATGAAGTTATCGACACCACGATCCTTGGCGATGCTCCTTGGAAGTGCCTCACTACTGAACCCCTCTCGACGGACCTCAATGCGCCTGAATGGGCACGCCAATCGTACGAAATCTGGTACCGAGACCCAGAGGTCGTTGTCAAGAACCTACTCGATAATCCGGATTTCGACGGCCTTTTCGATTATCAGGCGTATATCGAACTCAATCCCGAGAACGAGAGACGTTGGTCAGACTTCATGTCTGCCAATTACGCTTGGGAGCAATCGGTACCACAGCCATATCTCCGCTTTTGTTTCTCATGTCTCTCAGAACAAAATCTACGAAAACGATGTCTCAACCGAGGGAGCTATGCTGTGTCCCCTGTTCTTCGGAGCGGACAAGACGACTGTCTCGGTTTCGACTGGCAACGTTGAGTACCATCCGGGGTACATGGCACTGGGCAATCAACATAGTACATTGCGACGGGGCCATCGTAACAGTGTCATTCCCTTTGTCTTTCTCGCTATTCCGAAAAGTCAGTGGCGCTTTTCATGTCTTTTATTGGTGACTTATCTCAGCCAGGTGATCGTAAATATGATAACGACCCCGCCTTTCGCACATTCAAACGCCAGCTCTATCATGCGTCATGGGCTGCGGTTCTGAGCACGTTGAAGGCAGGCATGACCACCCCAGTTGTTTGTCGTTGTCCGGATGGCCACTTCCGTCGTGTTATTTACGACTTTGGTCCATTCATCGCCGACTATCCTGAGCAAGTTCTTTTGGCGGGCGTTGTCCAGGGCTGGTGTACCAAGTCCGTTTTTGCTTTCTGCATTCTAGCATCAGTTCTTATGGTTCCCAGATGTACAGCCCCTGCGCATGATCTGGATGGGCCGATTTCGACAAGCCGGGACCATATTATGACGGAGGAGATTATCGACACATTTGACGGTGAAGCCAAGGTACTCTGGGAAAACTATGGCATCAATACCGATATTATCGTGAGTTATATCTCACTTGTAGACCTGAATTGACATGCGGCAGCCGTTTACTATGGATTTCCCTCGTGCCGATATCCATAAAATGCTATCGCCAGATCTTCTTCACCAGTTGATCAAGGGGACGTTTAAGGACCATCTCGTCGAGTGGGTGAGCGAATACCTTTATCTCGTCCACGAAAAAGCGGAGGCGGAAAGGATCCTCGATGAAGTTGACCGTCGGTAAGTCTAATGTGAGGAATATTGTAAAATATTGATTAACTTGTCTCAGGATTGCAGCGGTTCCATCATTCGCTGGTTTGCGTCGTTTCAAACAAGGTCGTCGGTTCAAACAATGGACTGGGGATGATTCAAAGGCCCTAATGAAGGCAGGTACTTGTCACTGCTTCAATTGTCTCTAACCATTTGCCAGGTCTATCTGCCGGCACTTAAAGACCTTGTCCCTTGTGAGCTCGTGGAAGCGCTTAGTAGCTTCCTTGATTTTTGTTATCTTGTAAGACGTCAGGACTTTGACGAAACAACATTACAGGCTGTCGACACTGCTCTTGCGACTTATCACGACCGTCGAGAGTTTTTCCGAACATCAGGAGTTCGCCCGATGGGTTTTCACTTCCGCGACAGCACTCAATGTGTCATTACGTCCGCGACATTAAACAGTTTGGTGCTCCATATGGCGTCTGCTCCTCCATTACCGAATCTCGCCACATTACTGCGGTAAAGAAGCCCTGGCGTCGGTCAAGCCGTTTCGAGGCATTAGGGCAAATGCTACTCACGAATCAACGTCTCGACAAGCTCGCTGCTGCTCGTGCAGACTTTGAAGAGCGAGGAATGCTGCGACCCCAATACCCTACCCTCCCCGACAAAATTATCTCCGAGGATGATGCCGAGGAGGAGGAAGCTATTGATAGCCCCCGGGTAGAGGGTTCGGTAGTACTTGCCCGTACTCGCGGTTAGATCAATCTTCATGTCTTGTCTTTTCTCTAAATCCCCACAGAACGGTCATACCCGGCTCGTCCTGGCGAGCTCGGGAATCATATTGGAGTTCCTCAATTTACATCGCTTCTCCAAGCCTATCTCCGCCCCCCTTCTCCGCCCCCCAGCTCCGATGAAGACGATGAAATAATTCCCGACGATATCGACCTGGACGACATTCGGAATCTTGCTGTTTTCCACTCGGCAATTGCGAGTTTCTACTCGCCAAGTGACCCCTCTGGCATTCGCGGAATGAAACGAGAGCGGATTCGATGTACTCCGTCATGGCGCAAGCATGGCCCTCGACGTGACTGCGCGCTCCTGGTGGAGAACGAGGACATTGCTGGGTTCAAAGGAATGAGCGCTGTTCGTGTGCGGCTCCTCTTCTCCTTCACCTATCAGGGCACTCACCATCCCTGTGCCCTCGTTGAATGGTTCAAGAAAGTTGCACGCCGCCCGGACCGCCAGACGGGCATGTGGATTGTGAAGCCAGAGATGAGGAATGGGTCGCGTCTACTGACCATCGAGCATCTAGACAGCATGCTTCGTGCCGCACATCTAATTCCTGTCTTTGGACAGCGTGAAATTCCTCGCGACTTACGCTACATACACTCTCTTGACGCTTTCGAAGCTTTTCATGTAAATAAGTATATAGACGCACATGCGAATGAAATACTATTTTAGCAATCTAGGTGAATGTCTAGGCTGGGTCTGGCAGTGGTCTGGGCCCAGCCGTGTTCTGGAGATACTAGAGCCAGACCGGCTAGATCAGCTAGATAGCCCAGACGGCCCAGAAAAAAACGATTTTGCTGATGTGTATACGGTCAGCGACTGGAAAACATACCAAAGACCCGATACGGGTGGAGGTCTAACGCAGCAACCAGCAAGGTGGCGAAATGGTGGGAAGGGCCATCTCGTAGTAGTTCATCGTCAATGGTGTGTTGTGGGAAGAAGCCTTCTTATGTCCGCTTTCTAGTCTGAAGCATACTAGTATCTGAGAAGGCTACTACAGGAAAGTTAGCAAATGAGTGCGGGAGAGACCAAAAAGTTACACACCTTTTGGCCAACCGAACCATATCCTGCACTGGTTATAGCCTCGTTCTAGCCCTTCCCGGTCTCGCAATACACGTCTTACGCCGAGCAAGGACCAGCGGTTCAGCGCCAACCAACGCCAGGTAGGCAAAGCAAGGCGAAAAGAGTCGGACGGGTAGCAGACATACGAGGCAAGAGCAGTGATTGTGAGTGAGATACGAGGGATTTATGAGCATTTGGGCCATCTTCATGCCAGAAGGACATGCGTCGTGGCTGGAGGAAAGAACCCCTGATATTTTCGGGTCACAATTGGTCACACTGTCTTCCTGCTGCTTTCACGACTCGCTATCTTATACATATCTCTCTTCTCTATCGTGTGTCTCCCTCTCTCCCTTCATTCGCAACGGACCCGCCTAACATTGTACTCAGTACTCCGTAATACTTCAATACCGCGGCCGCCAGCAACCAGTTCCGTTTCCTCGACAACTTAAGCACCGCTACGATCTTGTAATCCCAGCTCTATGGTGAGCAACAGCTCCGTTATGTCAACCTACATTGACTCTTTTCAGCCAAGCAACTATGCACCCCTTCCCAACGACGACTCGGTTCTCCTTCCCCGCGAATCCGACGAGGACATCACAGCACATAGCCGCCTACTCCCTTCCCTTCAAACAAACGCGGATTCTGGATTGAAAGTCGCTGAAGACTCCTCGTACACTTACAGTTATGGCCCTCCCGGGCTGTCTGGACTGTGGCACAACTACTATGCCTTCTTGTGTGCAGTCTTCGGCGTCCATAGGCGGGCTGAGCTTTGGGTATGACCAGGGCGTGGTGTGTCCCAACCTTCTGCTTCATATACATCGATTAACTCTTCTTCTCTCCAGATTGCCAATGTACTTGTAATGGAGGACTTTGTGGGCCGATGGCCAATAACACCGCTGCAGAAAGGCGCGCTCAGTGCGTGCTCTACCTTTCGCTCATAACCGGCCCTTACTGTTTTCAGCTGCTGTTCTTGAACTGGGCGCCCTGATTGGCGCTCTCACGTTCGGAGTTTTGGCCGATAGATACTCCCGCCGACATTCCATCTTCATTGCCTGTGGTATGTTTACGGTAACCTCCGTCCGTCTAACTTCATATCGTCGCTAGTCATATTCAACATTGGCGCGCTCTTCCAAACATTCGCGCGAACACTTGCAGACCTTTTCATTGGTCGCGCTATTGGCGGCATTGGTGTCGGCGCTCTAAGCATGCTTTCACCACTTTATATATCGGAAATCAGTCCACCCGAAGTACGCGGCTCGCTCATTGCGCTCGAACAATTCTCGATCGTCCTTGGAGTTGTTGTCGGATTCTGGATTGGGTTCTTCACGCGAAATAGTATGTGGTGGTCGTTTCATTTGACTCCATACTCAATTTCTCCGCCAGTCCCAGGTTCGGCGTCATGGAGGATTCCGCTTAGTGTCCAGATCGGTCCCGGAGTCCTTCTAGCTTTCGGAGCGTTGTTCCTTCTTCCTGCTTCGCCTAGATTGCTTGTGCTGAAAGGCAAATACGACGAAGCAGAAGCTAGTCTGGTCAAGCTGCGCGGTCGCGACGACGCGCTTACAAAGGTTTCATCTTGCTTCTCGGGGTCTGTCGCTAACCTGTCTTTAGATCGAGCTTCTCGAAATGCGTGTCGAAGCAGTATTGATTTCACAATCTGACTCAGATTCACCCAAGCCTGGTATGCTTTCAGCGTGGCGGCAGTTGTTCTCCAAGAAGTATCGCCCACGCACACTGGTGGGGGGTTCTTATGATGTTCTTCCAACGCAAGTCACAGTTTATCTGGTGTTTCTTCAAGTTGACTGATACGACTCTTAGAATGGAGCGGAATCAATGCATTGCTCTATTATGGTCCTACCCTCGTGAAGAGCATCGGTCTCAAAGGCATAACTACCTTGCTGATTGTTTCTGGGGGAATTGGAATTGTCCAATTCATTGCTGTTGGACCCGCTGTCATCTATATCGACCGAGTTGGTGAATGTCTCTTTTGCTCCGTTTATATATTTCTGTTGACTCTGCAATCAGGACGCAAGCCTTTGTTAAGAGGTTACTTTTGTATCATCTACTATCTGTGCTGTTAACGCGAAAAAGGTGGTAGCTCGTTTATGGCGGCGTCTCATCTCATCATTGCCATCCTCGTCAGTGCTTACCTTCCTTTCTTTTATATAATTCTGACTGCCGACCAGGTAATGCAAGTCCAATCGGACTGGAGCTCGCATGCAATAGCCGCATGGGCCGCTGTTGCGTATGGGCCATGGCTTTCTTTCGTTTCCGCCTCAGCCCCTCTGAAAACTTTCCCAGTGCAATCTATACATTTACGTTTGCATATGGCGTCTCGTTTGGACCCATTGGATGGGTCCTCCCGAGCGAGGTCTTCCCGCTGTCGATGCGCGGCCGTGGAGTGGCTCTATCAACTGCCTCCAACTGGAGCAACAACTGTCCGTCATTCTGTCTACCGTGTTGCGTCTCATGACCTGCTTCAGTCTTCATTGGGCTCGTAACACCAATCATGATGGAATACTCACCTGCGTCTGCCCTTTCTTCTGCCGACATCACCGTCTACTGACAACTTCTCCAGCGGGACGTTCCTCACATTCGCCACAGCGTGCTTCGTGGCCTATCTGTGGGCCACCTATATGGTGCCGGAAACAGCGGGCGTGACGCTCGAAGATATGGACCGCGTGTTTGGCGGGGACGCAGGAAGAGAGGACCGCGTCAGGCGGAGAGAGGTACGTTGTTGTTCTGCGGCTTGACAGATGCTGATATGGGTTCTTCGCAGCTTGAGGAGGAGATGGGGCTGCGTGCGATGGTGATGGAGCTTGCTGAAAATAATGGATTATGACCCACATAGAATCAAAGGGGTTGATATTTTTCAGGTTTGCACATATCTGGCGCGAAAGACGCAGGGTATGAACGCCCGCAGGGCCGCAAATGACAAAGAGGAGGTTAGATGTGGTAATCTGGGAGCGTCAGGCGACACGCCTTGTTTTGACTCGGGAACTGGAGATAAACCCCAGATGTGTCATGTGATGGGTGACAAATTTTCTTCTCGACCACGACAACCACCTGGAGCGTTCCCAGCCTGCAGACACGTCGGCACCCTTATTGCAGCATCCTAACGACCTATTCGCCTCTTATATCACTCAGCTCAAGCTTTTCTGAGCTAGTTATAGCCGGCATCGATATATCCGACCAGGGTACAGGTGGCGACGCTGACAAGCGGTAAGCACGAGCCTGTTCAAACAAAAGCAGACTCACCAAGCCCATAGGCAGTGCCCAGGCCAGACAGCGCGCGATCAGGCGCAACGCCAACGACGGCGGCTCAGGCTCATGGAGTAAGCGACAACGGGCCTGTCGGGTCTCAGGCTGTTTCCGCAGCGCAATCGTTAGCCTCTGTGGTTCTAGCACGCGGTAAGCGCAAAGATGGGGATGTGAAGAGTGAGAACAGGGAAGACGAGATCTATGGAGACAGTGAGTGGAGCAAGAGATTCTGCGGGCTCACGCTGGCGCGAGGCGGATGGCCATCGTGCGTTTCCACTCCACCCGTGCTTCCTTCCGCTCTCATTTATTTGCGCTAGCCCGTTACTAGTAGAAGGGGCGGCTATGGGAACATCACCATGCCCGTGCGCTCGCTGCGACACGCTCGCAGTATGTAGACCCCGTCCCGTCAACACCCCGACTGCGATGAGCTTCCTTGTCCCTTTACCCCTCCCCGGGTACCGCGCGCGGCCCAGGTTGAATGGCAAAGGTGTGTGGCGTGCTCGCAGCGGGTTTCTAAGCTGACCGCCTTGTGCAGAGTGTTATTATGGCGCTGACGCTGAAGATTACGAGTCGGATTCAGACTACTTAGTCTTTGACACAAAACAACGCCAAAAGTCGACACGCATTGTACGGAACGTGGCCTAATCTTTCCCCTTACGCTACCCCCGCGACCAAAACTGTAATGCCTCAATGTATTCCTACCTCTACATCTGCCTATGAATCGACCTGCTTTCTGAAGACTGCGTCGCCGTCCGTTTCCCTTCCCCCTGGGTAATATCGCCACGCAGGGAGCAGATAATACTCTGTTCCCGGCTGGTAGCTGCCTATCGACGCGCATAGCACTGAGAGGGGCTCAGCAGCAGTTCGCGGTAGAAAAAACAGGCCCCACAGGCAATCCAGATGGCTGCCGGAGCGAGGTTGCGCTGTAGCAGGACAAGACACCACGGCCACTGCTTAGTGCACTGCTGCATGTCTTCTGACGGCGCGCGGAGGAGGGGCCACAGGCCGGGGACGACGCCGCAGCAGAGCCAGAGGCACACGTGGACGTTGATGGTGCCAAACTGCAGCGGGTCGGGGCGCTCGGCGGGGCGAATCCTGTGAGCGGGGTAAAAGAAGAGCTATGCTGATTGCGGTGGGCATACCACAGGGTTGTTTCGTAAACGAGGCATGATGCGTAGATGGGGGTGAGAATCGTGAATACCAATGGCACGGCTGGGAGACAGTGTCAGGGTTTGCGGGCGGGGGATTTGGGAATGCGGAGGACGGACCGAGATGCGTGTTCACATATGTGTCGTCGACGGCTTTGCCATGGCGAGCAATTGTGAAAAGGATGGGCAGCTGCGCCGAGACGGTGCATAGGATATACCACACCGCCAGGGCGCGCGCGACATCTAGAATGTGGTTAATCTACTCGTAGCCTTCAAGTTGTGGCGCTCACGATGGTAGAGTCGTGGGGACAGTGAAAGGGTGGAGGTCCGGGGGGAGAGCATGATGTGGGTGGGAGAAGGGCGGTGGACGACGGGCGCTAAGACGGGTAAGTACTCATCGCGATCAAGATTCAAGAATAACTCGACACTTGTAGTACCCAGGCCCGGGCCATCGGAAGGCATCAGCGCGCACCCATTGCCGGCAAGAGCGGTCTTCATGGGCATCGGCGCTGACCCGCGCAACGACAACGCCGGTGGTGGTGGTGAAGTCAGCAGGGTAAAACGACGACCGGCCGGTCGGCCCGCCGCCCGTGACCCGACGGCACGTGTCGCTTATCAACTCTCTCCCCTCTCCCACTCGCTTCCCCGACTCGGACCCGCCCGGGCCACATGGCCGCCTCCCGCTTCAAAGCGCACCGACTGCGCGGCCGCAAACGGCCCCGCAACAGGCCGCGCTCGCCTGCCGGGCTACCGCTCAACGCCAAGAGGCCGAATCAGTCTGCTCTACCGTCTTAACTCATAGGCTGCCGACTGCCATTGGCCACGCCCCTCCGACACCTGCCGAAGGACATCTGCCGCTCTCGCTGCCTTCAAAACTCGCCAAAACAACACTAGAAAGACCAACGAAGTCAGCGCCAATCTCGAGAACGAGGAGAACACGCACCATCTTTGGAATCGCCAACAGGACCAATCCGCAAACGACAGTCAGCGTACTAATAGGGGAGAGGATTGAGGAATGTATCCTTGTCTAGTACTCCGCTCGCTAACTCTGTCTTTAGGCATTACCGAATTGAAGCCTGAAAATGACGGCGAGGAGGGACACTTGAATGAGGAAGGAAGATACGTGAGTGGGTGGAGCTGAGGATTCAAGCCCACGAGGAAGCGCAAACAAACAGGCTCTGTTGGCCGGTCAGTACAAGTCAAGGGCCAGGAACGAGTACTGACTTGGCTTGCTTGAAGGTCTGCGAAAGATAGCGGAGGCGATCCGGGAAACGAAGTCTCGAAAGAACTGGTGGGACCTAACTCCTCCTCTGGCTTGGGTTTGGCGAAGGGACCACGGACGATGCCGAGGACGGTCGTATGGGGAAGAAACAGCGCGAGAACGGGGCTGTGATAAGGTCAGCATTCAACAGCCAGATCTAGAATGTGGAGCTGATTTTGGGGCAAGAGCGCGGAAGGCGCGTGTCCAGCTCGAGCGCTGTCGGTCGACGGTCGGTAAGTACAAGCCAAAGGCCAAAAACGACTACGAAATTACCTGGAAGGCTTACAAATGAAATCGGGTTCGAGTGGAGGACGAAGGCCCAAGGCCTATATATCGAAGGGCGGGCATCAATGATCGTAGTAAAGGCGACATATTCTCTAAGGTCATTGCCCTCTGTCAAGGACTGAAGAGCCCGGTACTGCCCGGATTTCACCCTCTCGAAGGAGAAACGCCGTCGTGCCCCATATATAAAGCGGCACGGGAAAACGTGCTCGACGGCGGTCTTGGGCCTTGAGTTGCGGGGCATAAAGAATTGGGTAGAACGGGAGCGGTATGGGCACGAGAAGATGCGCTCTATAGAGCGACAGCTTTGGTGTCAGGGAAGATATGCTGCAGTCTTTTCGAATGGCGGAGGGCACGTGACTTGCCATATGCGGACAAAATTTCGAGTCGGTCTTGTGGGTGGTCCTTGGGTAGTGCAAGCCCTGACGGGGAGGCGGAGGAGCAAACGGATAACGGATAAGCATGAAAGTATGATATTGTGTTGTTGCCCTTGTAACTATTCTCGAAGACGCTTCAGACAGGAAAATTGAAGTAAAAAGAAGATCATACCTTTGAATGTACTTGTCGCGCGATGATGAGAAGGATTGCTATATATGGGTCGGCCATCCCGCTCTCCTTGCGCGGACGAGCGAAGCCAACGGGCAAGGAAGGAAGGGACCGGAGAAGAGGCAGCCTAACAAAGGATTTCTTCGTCCTGCTGAAGTGTAAGTAGAGTCGGACGGGGCAAGTAACTCCTCACACATATGCTAATCCTTCAGAACGCCTGAAACATACCATCTCCCAAGTGCCCCGTCAACCTGAATTACCTCGCCCGACGCGTACGTCGACATTAGATAGAGAACTATTGGCCATCCCGCCACACGACCGCCGCAAGCAAAACACCCTCAACGGCGGTCTTCCCCCTCGAATGGCGGAGCTGAAAGAATTATGTAGAAGTCGAATAGCATGGTATACAATGATATACGCTCGCTAGAGCGATAGCTGCGGTGCTGGAGGAGATATGTCGCACTCTCTGCGGACGGCGAGGCGCACGTGACTTGCCAAATCCGGACAAAATTTTGAGTTGGTCGTGCGGGTGGTGCAGGCTCCGACGAGGAAAAAGGGGAGCTGGTGGTGAAGGAAGGGGTGACTATTATGTTGCTTTGGGGTGGATATTGTCGTCGTTGTAGCTAAACGACACTTCAGACATGAAAGCTGAGGTAAAAAAGAAATCGTACCTTCAAACGCGGCGGCGTTGTCGAGCAACAATAAGAGTGATTGGCCATTGGGACTCCGTTGAACAGATAAATTGGAAGAAGACGCCTGTATCGTGTGGCCAGCGCAAGCAATGCGACGACACTTAGCCAAAGCGCGCAATTCCGCCGTCGGGCCAGCTTCAAAACTGCGGAGAATCGCGAGCTGGAAGAACTATCGAGGGGTATATATGCCATTGATAGCGGGGATAACTTGAGTATTTGGTGAATGGGTGGAAGATGGGTGGTTAAAAGAGGCCCCGACAACGCCTGCTCTCTTCTCTCGACAGTAAGCGATATTCGGGGCATGTCCAGTAAGAACAACAGGTCCTAAGCATTCTCTATTTGCGACTGAAAAGTCAAGCCAAGGAGATGAGAGCCTGTTGAGGAAGACCGTCAGCAACGACGTTGGGGGGAGAGAAGCATGACTTTCGCGCACCGATATGCATACGCTAACGCTAGCACGACTGATATTCCATGCTCCGTTTTCCCCTGAGAACCATCCCAAGACTGCAGGCCAGTGTCGTGTCCCGACGGAGCTTCTCGGTTGTCGTTATGAGCTGCTTTCGAGTTACTACACGGTAGCGCGAGAGTAGAGCCCTTCATCGCTATGCCAAAAGTCAGGAGATAAACACAAGCCAATGCGCGCGAAGACGCACGTTGCTCCGTTCGCCAACATAGCGTGAGCAGTTTGAATACTTGGTGGAGAAGGGCAGGTACCCGGCATGTTCGTTGGAGGGCCTGACAAGTTTGAGGCCGGCGGGATCATCGAGGTCGGGAAACAAGAAGCGGGTGTGTGACATGCACGCGTTTCTCTCTTCCCGACTTCATGGTCCCGCCAGTTGCGGTCTCGATAACGGGCTCCGCTCTTCTGCGGTCATATACGACATCCTAGCGCGAGGCACTAGCCGTGGTCTTCGCGGTCAACGATGCAGACAAGAGCAAGATGTCGATGTTGAGTGTCGACGCGCAGTCTCGCAATCGGTGCGCGCTTTCTCTGACTGAAAAGACTTCAGCTCAAGCTACTCCTACCCATAGACAACAAATATCCTGAGGACCCCACTATAAGCACTTGCGTCGCTCTCAGTACAAGCCTCAAGCGCTTCGAGCGGCGACACGTGTAGAGGACAAGGGAGGCGGAATCTGGAATTGGAGTCTACAGGTGTGTGTGTCCCTCTCAAGCCCGAACCTTGTCAAGTACTAACCAGAGTTTTCAGCTCTTTTCCGCCTCCGTTTGCGACAAGACCTCGCTAGACCTCTTGCGAATCGTTATACTGCCCACTATCCTCATCGTCAACCTCTGCCGCGTCAACACCCATCCTAGTTCCTCCTGCTTCCGTCTCGCGGGTGTAACCGGTGCACGTCGCGGAGACGATGTGGCAACCTCGCTGATCAACCAACCAACCGTCATCTTCTCGGGCAACTTCTCGCGCCGCTGCTGCGTTCCTTCATGGCCGGCAGCAACTCGCAGACGACATTTGGGCTAGGAGCCTAACGGGTGGAGGAGTGGGATTCGACAATGAATAAGATGAAGAGGGAAAAGGTCGATGCGGAAGTCAAGCGCTCCGGTGGCTGGGTTGCTGTTGTTCAGGGAGAGCAAAACGAAGGCAGGAGGAACAACGATGTGTTCTCCATCTTCACTCCTTCCTGCACCGCATCTGGCACCAACCCCGTCGCGCCTTTCTCCTTCAATAGCATCATTCCCGCCTTCTTTTATTCCACTTCTCCTGCATGTATCTCGAGCTCGTATTCGATTCGCAATGCTTTTTCACCACTGTAGCGAAACAAGAGATGTATGTATATCACCTATTCAAGAAAGAAGGACCCTTCTATTACAAGGGCTAACTCACCTTCTTCGTCCCATTGTCGCAGTTGGGCTTGAAGCTCGTCACCCAGCGGACATTGAATTCCTTGATAGTGGAATAGAGCAAGATTGAAGAAATACGAGAAGGGCACTGCATTAACATGCAACATTCTGCTGTGGGTGAATTCCTTCAAAGCGTGGTCCGTAAACGCAAAGCGGCCGGAGATCTCGAATAAACCAAGCTTGGGAACCAGCATCCGGTCTGGATCTACATCGACGGTGAGCCGGTTCAGCAGCTCGTCGGTTACGAGGGGCGGCGGACTCTCCGTGGTGTAGGTGTCCACGAGGCACAGGTCCTCTAACGAGTCAAGCCGAGCAAGAATATCACAAAGCTCAGGCGCCCTCAAAGGTAGGGTGATGATGAGACAAGTCAGGCGTTGTCCCATATTCGAGCGTCCGATGAGAGTGCAGAATTCGATTTGGTTCCAGCATAGATGGCTTGGATTTTCGGGCTTATTAGATCCCAGTATCAACTGCGTAACCTTGGGAAACACAAGCAAAGCTAGGACGCGCCCCAGACTATGAATGGCTTGTGCATCGCCGACCATTGCCCGGAAATGAAGTTTGAGCGACCAGCTCAGCACTGGTTGGGGCGTCACTGCTGTCAGGTTGGCATCGTCATTTTGCTCGAGAAACAAGTTGAGGAACAATGCACAATGAGATGAAAGGCTCTGTAAGGGGAGAAAGCGCAAGTCGGAGGGAGGGAAGGGAAGGTTGGTGGCAAAAGAAAATTGTCGGAACTGGTTCCACGGCAGCCTGACCATTGACAAGTCCATCGCACGTCCACAGAATACCACACTCCCCAATCGAGGAGCATCGGAGAAACAGTCGATGGTATGGGAATGGGACAACGGCTGAAAGATACGCAAATCCAGAGATTCCAAACAGTCCAGATGGTGGTGAACTGGAGCAAGCAGCGAAACTGTCTCGTTGTCAAAGTCCAGTGTGACATCCTTCCATCGTCCCGCATGCTTCGCAACAAGTTCTAGCGCACGAGGAGCTTCTTGATCTTCACTGTATGCTGCCCAACCCGCAGACATAGCCCTGAGCTGCAGTACCAGCGGATATTGACCACCCCTGGCTAAAGCTGTCTTGGTCAAATGGAAGGCTTTTTGCGAGGGTACTGGTGAGCTGGTCAAGATCGGCCCGTCGAGTATAAGCTGGCTCCAAAGACTTTGCGTCGATAATGCCACCTCCCGCCAGTGCGAGCAAACCTTCACAAGGAGATTAAAAACTTCGGCTGCTCGGCAAGTGCTGCTCGCGAACATGAGCTGACCTGCATAAGAGAACGGAGGTTGGGACTGATCAGGTTCCGCAATGCTGCATCAGAGTCCTTGATTTCCTCCACAGTGTGGTACATATCGGCACGCGACATCAGTACAGTCAATTCGAAGATGGACGCAATAATCTCTGTTGGGAGCCGGCGGATATGCGCTGTGAGGAGGCTCTTGCACCGGGAGGCATAGTGGACAACCCGCGCTCGTTCTTCGGTAGCTGCCCAGACCAGTTCCTCCAGTCGGGCAAGATGAGCGTCGTAGATGGCAATGGTCGCAGACGCAGCACTCAGTTTGCTGGGGATATCCACAGGAGTTGGATGGTTTGAGCGAGTGATAGAGTCGAGCTGTTCGATTTCAGACGTAGAAGGCAGGCCAAGAGCCTCCGGGTGGAACGAACAAAGAAAGCAGGTTGTCATGATGGTTATGGAGCGAAAGGAAAGACGGGCCGGTCACGTTGCGTCACCCGTCAATCCTTCTTCGTCTTGACTTCCACCCGCCTTGCCACTGTCGTCTGCAATGCTCGGGGGAAAGCACTGCTGTTGGGACGGACCTGTTTGGCGCCTGCCGCCTTCGTGTTTGGCGTACTAGACGTCTGCGCGGGCGTCTCTTAGTGCGTTTTAACGGCCGACTGGGGCGAAGTCCGACTGACCTTCCTCCGCTAGGCGATGATGCGTACCGCCCCGACCTCTGGGAGCAAAGAGTAACAGCAGAGCGAGCGGGAAGAAGAAGGAAAGATTGGTCTTTGTGGTGCGCTATTATGCTCATTTGTCGTCCGGTTTCTGAGTGAGCGGCAGCGAACCTGATGCTGTATGGCACGACTGTGTCGACCACCAAATGCGCAAGCTATTCAAGGCCAACAACCTCGTTTGCCATGACGAGTCAGCCAGTCGCTGGTCTTTCTGGTGCGTTAAAGCATCCTCTTGTCGTCCTCTGCATTGTTAACGTTTTCTTATCTGCAGATGCCCTCCAATTTCCGTTAGACAACCACAACTCGGCAAGGACATTACTCCGCGAGCATTGGGCTGCTCGCAACACTCGCAAGTCCCACGACAACGACTCTGAAACGAGTTGCCGCTTGAGCTGGGGAGGGTGAAGATGAGCTCTGTATGAAACGGCTCAAATCGGTGTGTCTTCTCGTTCTTCGAGCAGCGAAGGGTACACTCATTTTATGCTCAGTCGGGCTGGAAAGCGTTATACCCGCATGTAACAGCGTTGGCCTAACATCGCCTGCACATTATCCCAACACCTCTTCTACCCTGTCTGCACTCTGGCGACTGTCTTTCTTGACACATATGTGCCGGAACACTATTTTCGCCCACTTTCGCCAAACCAATGCCATACTCCCTCCTTCCACGACAGCATCTCGCTCCTCCACATCTACGCGAGCGCCAGCTCCTGCTGCTCCCGCCATTTACGGAGTCGACCCCGCTTTCACGACTTTTTTGTCGTCTCCTCCGAAGGTCACATGCGTCACCGTCACGCTTCCCACATCCGACTTTGAATCCCTCCTCCTGCATTACCTACGCCTCTATCGAGTGGATCCCGTGGTGCCTTACACGCCATTTGTGCCACATAATCCTTTCTGGGCGCCGCGATGGTCCAGAAGGTCTTCGTCAATGCCGTTTTCGACAGCGACCGCACTTAGACCGGAATTGGGTTTCCATCCATACTGCAAGCTACGACCACTCGAAAATGCGTATCTACACATGCCTGTGCATGTACGCTCAGGATTGTCAAGGTTTTCGAACGCGCTTTGGCACCACGTTCGACCTCCGCGGTCGTTTCGTGCCCATTGTCGCGGTTCTCTGGGTCCAACCAAGCGGGCTAGCCTGCCCACACTGCTATGCGATGGAGGACGATGTTCTCTGGCGGCTCAACCAATCTACAGTCTATTCTCCGGACGATTATGGGTCGCTTTTGGGATACGTGCTACAAGCGCTTACATCTACTTGCGTAGCCCAGGAGCGACAGTTTGTAGCTTGTCGGACTATTCCCCATAATGTACTCTGCATTGTAAATCAACGATATTCCTCGTTCTGTATCGACGTGTAGTCTAAAGAAGGAAAGAACCCAAAAGGGGAGAGACTATCGTCAAGACTCGGATGGTTGCATATCTTAAAGGATGAAGAGTAAGCATTCTCGGCCCAACAGTAAGTACTCTACGATGGACCTAGTAGCGCCATTCATTTTCTTCCAGGCCCATCGCTGTTCCTTGGTGAATCGAAACTGAGTCCTGGAGCCTGAGAGAGTTTCAAGTTGACAGTGGTCACACACGCACCTTCCTTCTTCTCCCTCATGAGTCGACTCATCAACCTCTCGTTTCCTCCCCCTCAAACCACGAACCCCAGCGTCCGTCCGCTGCTTGTGGGACACATCGCGGTAGATACCTTGGGCCGATTCGGGTGCGCAAATACTCGTTCCTTCCCTGTCTGGCCTCATTCCCATCCGCCTTTGCAGATGGCCCG